TGTTTTTTTTTTTTTTTTTTTTGATTAGCAATTCAAGTTTTAACCTGGAGCTCAGTTTTATTCCTGCCAAAGCTCTTGGGATATTTCTTTCAGGGATAAAACATTCCAGTCATTGTTCCTAATGGGTTGTCCACTGCCAACTAATGACTACTTAAGTTATCAGGTATCATTAGGCGAAATATCTTTTAGGAACTCAGAGAACGACAAAGTTTACAAGTGAAGTATAAAGATTTAAAAACTCAATTATTTAACATTTCTCAATCCAATTTCATGAACCTTTAAATCTTTACTTGAAGTTAAAAAAAATAGTGCATATTATTTCCTTCTTTGCAGAGTTGATAAATTACCCTACTTCTAATTACAGAGAGAAGACATTCTTCTTGTCAAAAACTTTTACCCTAACCAACAGTTAATCCTATTTTTTTTCTGTTGAAACAGTCACTGCATGATTTATTTGTGATGCATGCATCTGGATAAAATCATATAGCCAGGTATAGTCTAATTGCTCAAGAGCAAAGGTTAGCACAAATTTTATAAATATTTATTTAAAAAATATAGCTGTACTACTTGAAACATGTTCATTGCAAGTACATTTTCTGGGGCCCTTGGATTTAGAGTTCATATTATAAATATGTCATATAGCTTGTGACAGATTGTCACATTTCCACATATTTTGGAGAAGCCAAGGAAAAGATCTGAATGCCTAAGGAAATTCAAACAGGACTTAAAAACCTACTTATTGGGTTTGGGGGGGGGTTGTTTGTTTGTTTGTAGCCCCAGCTGGCCTGGAACTGGCTTGGAACTTGCTATGTAGATTATTCTAATCAGGCTGTCCTCCATCTCACGGAGATTTGGCTGCCCATGCCTCTTGTGTGCTGGGATGAAAGGTGAGTGCTGCATCACCAAGCAGTTTTAATAATTTTTAATACGGAGTCAATTTTCATTTTACAATATCACCTACATGCAATTTTCTAGTTTCACATTTCTGAAGAATACACTGGGCACCACTTCATGACAGTAATGTTATGTTTCCAGCAAGAATTGGAGAACGTTCCTAACAATTTCATGTTACGACACAGAGAAATCATGTCTTGTAACAGCTATGGTGGGACACATACCTCCTATTCTAACAATCAGGAGGCACAGATAGGATAATCACAAGTTCAAGGCCAGCCTGGACTCCATAGGGTGACGTTGTTTCAAAAGAAACAGAATTAAATAAAGAAAAGAAGTCATGTTTCATAATCAAGTATTCCCATAAAACTTTGCAATATCAGTTCTGTTTTGGGAACTTTTAATAAAAGTTCTTAGTTTCTATTTAGACACATTAATGTGTGAATCAATGGCTGCCTTTAAGACGTAATCCTATAAAAAAAAGCATCACATTCACTTATGTAATCTCTATGAATAGATAAATAAGTTAATGATCTAAGTTCAATTATTAAAAGTTCGTTTGACTATCCAGGGATCATCATATTGTTATTTACTACTTTGACTTTTATATAAGAAAAAAACTTTGCTCAATAACTATTAGCAAACACTTTCAGAAAACTGAATAGTTTGTTGAAAGGATTATTTAGATTTCCAGTCATTTTGATTCTTCATGTTGAACAGAAGGCTTATTAGCAAAATGTATGACAATGTTCATGCTTGTGTCACAGAATGTCTTATTATTCTGAAACTGAAATAAATAATCCATTTTCTAAGACCACAAGACCCTTTTAAACTGTACTGGTTCAATTGAACACACAATTAGAACATTTAAGCAGACTAATGGTAATTATAATCATTAGAAAAATTTTAGATCATTTGTATCTTTTTCAGCTGATGAAAGGTTAAAGTAAAAAAGCCCAAGTTTGCACAAATTTGGAATTATGTGTCATTTTTCAGTTTCCTAAAGAGTACTGCCTAAACTTTTAAATTAAAAAATTATATTTATGGTAAACTCTGAAGGAACAAGATTAATTTTGCATTTGAATCCATAGGATTATTTGACTATCTCCTAATACTTTTGATTACATCAAATGTCAACTGGTCCCCTCTAAAATATTGAGTTTTATGCTACACAAGCTTGTATCACAAAGTGAATAAGAAATAACATAATTACTATCTTTCTAAGTTGAGTAGAATTATAATTTAGTTTACAAAACTAAATATACAACTGTGTTACAGGTCCAAAACATGCCAGGAACTCTCCTAGGCATGAAAACATAATGATGTCTAGACAGACATGGCTCCACCCTCCAGAATCTTTTCAGCCTGTGTTTTTTAAAAGTTGTTATTCCTCATTTTTTGAAGTTTTATTTACACTTTGTTTATCTCTAAAATTCCCAAAGATCTACTTATAATAAGCACAATTACAGGGCCATCTCATGAGGGTCAATCTTGGTTGATTTGACATAACTCCAATAGTAAGTAAAACTGATATGTCAAATATTAAAATTAAGGTCCAAACTTTGTAAAATTGCAAACTTAACTTGTATTTGCAAATTTCTAACAATATTTTCAGTAATATATATTTTTCTTGCTGAAAAGATGGAATTATACTCAAGTGGTTCTCTCTGTTATATATGATAAACAAATACTTAAAATTTTCTTTTGTTTTTTTGACAAATTATATATGTATTGATAAATATGCTGAATATGTATCTAAAAAAATATACATTTTAATGAATTTATTGGTTCTTATCAAATAACTCTTATCAATCACATTTTCTATAAAAAGATAAATGACTTCATTTAGTTAAAATATTTGCTGTCTAGATGTTGAAGTAGAATTAGTCAATCAATTTAGACCCTGGTAAGTGAAATGGATAAACTTAATCATAGAATTAGATTTCACCTGTTGTTTTATCTCTGAGAAGGTAATAAAAATAATCTCTGAGAAGGTAAAAAGTTACATAAATTCTGTTTCAACATACAATGTGATTTATTCAGTGTTCATTTGCAAATACTCATAGTTTTATGTTACTGATCCCTGCTGTGCTTTAAATTATTTACTTCAGATAAAAATAAATTAAAAATCCTCAAGAGGAAGTAGCCGTTGAGGCTACTGAAGTGTCTCAGACATGTCCTTATCCTAGCACCTTTGCCTACATTCTGAAGTTCATATTTAAGCATGACTCTCAGCAATACCTTTCCATTTTCTCAGAGAACCTTGCAATTCTATTAAACTTTCAATTGTCCTGCACATTTTCATCACAGTTTTGCATACAGCTACTTTTATGGGTAATATTGATGATTCAGCGACCAAACCAACACAATAAAATGGGTATGGTGTTTTGATGAATGAGGCTCACAGAGGTGCGTGCAAAGGCTCTTTGAACTGTTAACTGGGCACAATGGTCACAGAGTTCCTTAAAGTTTTTAAAAGAAACACCACAGCAAACAATCACTCTAAAGACACAATTTTGTTACTGTCAGAATTACAATTTGTTTACCATAGCAATAAACTTTTTTAAAGTAAGTCTTTTTGAAAATTCCAAGGTGTTTAAAGAAGTACAAAAATTCTATAGTAACTTCCACAAAAATCAAATTTAAAACATTAGAATTATTGCAGAGCCTGGGTATGGGTGTTCTGGATTATTTTTAAATGAATGACTACTATTAAGACACAAATCTAATTTTATAGATATCCCCATAATTTTTAAAGTACTGAAACACAGAGGCAGATGGAGCTCTGTGAGACTGAGGCCAGCCTGGTCTCTGTAGTGAGTTCTGTTCCAGCCCAGCTGGATCTATAGGGAGAATAACACATGATAAGACTTTGCACAGATACCATATTTATAGTACATTATTAAATAAACAAAAATGGTTGAGAAGCCTTTATAGTATTTTAGTTCATCCAAGAAATTTAGAAAACTAAATCATTAATATATTTGGAATGGATTAAAAACAGAATACATAAAGCAGTTATTTGTGTACAAAATAAAATATGAAGAATTACTTTAAAGTTGTACCACTATATTATCATTCAGACATTTTAAAATAATTATACAATTTCCTACCTTGTAATTGTATCCGTTTAAATTTATACTAAGCAAATTATGACAAGCACAAACAGGCATAATGGAGAGGCAAGTTTTGGCAAAAAAAAAAAACAAAAAAAAAACCAACAAAACCCATGCCAAAACAAATATATTAAAATTAAAAAGCCTTCTAAAATTGTACTTCCAATTTTGGCATAAAACTTAACATTTGATGAATAAATAAAATAGCTTATGATGCTGAAACCTAAATATGTATCCTCACCTAAAAAATCAATGTGTGTGTGTGTGTGTGTGCGTGTGTGTATTTTAAGTACATGTATTTAAACCACAGGCAATGCAGGCTTGATGTGTTGTGTTAAACAGGCAATAATAAAGATCTAGGGTGAACAGCTGCTTGAATCCCTTTTTAATGCCTAAGCCACCTAAAGTTCTCAAAGAACTTGTCCATAAAATGTTGCTCAACACAAAGTTTTCAATTGGGAACTTTCCAGATTTTAGGAATGCCCCACTTTCAGGGGAATCAAAACATTGTTTCCAGATTATATCAGAAGTTACAGTTTTTCATTCCAACAAGTGACTAGGAATTCTACTTTTATCTTTACCAAACATTTAAACCTTTTCAGAAATTAATATTCTAAAGCTGTTTTTGAAACAAAATAAATCATGTCATTCTACTCTTCCCCAAAGAACAGGACAACCCAAAGAGACGGTATGGCTTGTGGAATCAGAGGGCTCAAAGGCCCAAAGGAAAAAGTCCAAATCAGTCATGATTTCCTGAGATCCCTGTGCTGGCTACTGCCATCATCAATTCAGAACCGACATTCTTAAGAGCTGGACCTTCATGCTAACCTGACTCCCCTGGGCTCTCAAAGCAGTTTTCATTAGTATCCAGTACCAGGAAACATACTTTCATACTAAGGGGGCTGAATCTGGATATACACAGACACACAGACACACAGACACACACACACACACACACACACACACACACACACACACACTTGACTTTACCTGCTTTTATGTCGCGTCTTCAGCAAGTTTCTTCCAAACGGAGCCATGGTATGGTCTGTCCAGTTAGTAAATAACACAGCCCTTATCTCAAAGAAATCTGGGGCCGGGGTGGAGTGTCTGCGTTTCTCCGGTGAAGGGAGGAGAGCTGGAAACTTCCTTTTCACCTCCTCAGATGTTCCTGGGTTTCAGCTCATTAGAACTCGTCTGAGAGAGTTGCTGGAAGTTGTGCAACTGCTGCTTAACTTTGAACTGAGGGATTGTTGTGGCTGCTGCTGGCACCTTTGGAGACCTGCCCAGCTTCAGCCTCCAAGAAGGCGTTTGGAAGCAGGAAAATGAAGGGGGGGGGGGGAGAGGGAGAGAGAGAGAGACAGAGAGAGAGAGAGAGAGAGAGAATCTATTGTGTTCTCTTGTTATTTCCAGTTTAGCTAAACTTTAAGAGCTGCCAAGTCTACAGGCATGCATACCCATGGAATGGAAATTTCACTCAAATTGGATACCCCCCTCCCCCTTTTCCTGCTCTCCACACCCAACCACACAAGGTGAACACACATAAAAGATGTTAAACTAACCCCCGCCTCCTGCCAGCCAGCTCCAGTCTGTGAAAAGTAATCTGATCTTGACAAACAGGAAGGGAGGCCAAAAAACACTTTGCCTACCAACTCAATACAAAAATCTCCCCTGCTCTGGGTTTACACAAGTGCATTAAAGCAAGTCAAGGAGGAAAGCAGCTGCAGGCTGGATGAAGGAGCCCACAGACCACCTAGGAATTTGAGCTCCAGGCCCCCCTCAGTTCTCCCATAAGAGATTTCCTCCCTTCCAGTCCTCCATGCACACTCTCAAGTACAATATCCACAAGGTGATGGATTTCAGGGCTGACTGATCATAGCCTGGCCTTTAGGACTGGGGAACTCTGGCTGACTCCTTCCATACTGACTAGACCTCTGCCTCCAACACAATGCTTTGCTGGGGACACTGAATGGGTTCTTGGGTCCTGAGAGTTTCATAGGAAAAGTGAACTGCTTGTTAAGGCCCTTAACCTAGAGGTTATGGAACCCGGTGTCAGTGCAGGTCAAAAACGCATGAAGAGCTTGAAACACCATAGTCTGAGCATCTAAAGTAGTGCAAGCGGAGTGCTCCTGGTCTAGGGAGCCAGCACAACACAGGGCCTGGTCACAGTGCTGTGGGAAAGTGTCCTGAAGAAATGACAAGGAGACCTTTAACTAGATCTGTCTTTCAAGATTTCTCTCCTCTAAAAATCACTCCCCTGAGCCCCAGCAAGTTCCTAGTCACTGGCTTGGGCTGCTGCATATGAAGAGGGAGGGGAGGGAAAGCAATGGGCTGTGAGTTCCTCCACTTTGCTCTTCAGTCTGGTGTCTTTGAATATTAGCAACAGATTTAAATTGCCTCTGTTTTCTATGGTAGCCCTGCTGACCCCAGCAACAGGAAACAAAATATGATTACAGGACAAGACTGTGATTCTTGTATGCACTGTACAGGATTCTACAGTGCAGAGAAAAGTCTCTTTTTTTCTTTACTTAGTTGTAATTATTCAGTAATCTATATATTTGTATGTTTATATATTATTTACAATAATATTTTCTTTTTGATCTTACATGTCATTCTTATGCCCCCCTCAGTCATTAAAAATTTATAAAATTATAACATCCAATGTTATAATTTTCTTGTCTACAGTTTGTATTCAGGAGATGAATTATTTAAGAATATATATTCATATTAAAATATTAGAGAAGGGGCTGGAGAGATGGCTTAGCGGTTGAGAGCACTGACTGCTCTTGTAGAGGACCCAAGTTCGATTCCCAGCACTCACATGGTGGCTATGAACTGTCCTTAACTCCAGTTCCAGGGGAATCCGAAGCCTTCTTCTGACCTCCGTGGTATTGCAGGACATGGGTGCACGCACATATACGCAGGCAATGCACTCATACACATAAAATAAAAATAATTTTTAAAAGCTTTTTAAAAATTAGAGAAAATTTTTACAGTAATAAAGGTGGCAATGGTATTCTTTATTTTTCTATGTATATAAATATATAAGCATACATGTACACTTTTCATTCTTTATATTTTTGTATATATATATACACATATGTAATATAAAGCACACAATCTGGAATATACTTCTGTCTCCTTACTTTGATAACACGTAAAATGGTTTACGTCATTATGAAAGTTTGCTTAGTTACTTCAAGTTATTCAAAACTATCCCTTTAAAGCTGTGCTATTTATTTATTAAAGTAATGATTACAGTCAATTTGCAAAGTATTTTGCATCTACTAAGGGTCTCTGTGTATCCTGTACTTTCAGTTCCCTGCCTTTATTGATGTTTCTAGTTAAGAATTTACATTACATTTTCGGTAAAGACTTTTGATGGAGGAAGAGGAAACCCATTACAGCTTCACTAGCATAACCTGCATGCTACTTTCAAGTTATCACAAATGACTATCCTCTAGAATGTTGTTACTCCTCATATAAAATATCCTAATACTATTCATGACAAACTCTTTGATGTGTAAGATTTAAACACGGAAAAGTTGGTACATATTAAACAAATGCATTTTAATTTCTCAATTATATATCAGTAAAACTGGGGCAAACACACAAAGTTATTGCCATTCAGATTTTAAAAGCTGAAGGAAATATGAGCAATGGTCCCTAATACCCAAATAGAAAAATAAGAAAACAAAAACTGTTCCTAACTTTCTTACTTTCTGGTGCAAGTTTAAGAAAAAGTTTGTCTTTTTTAAAAAAATCTTTCTCATACAGACATATTACAATCTTTGTTAAGAGTAATTTCCTCTTCACATATTAACAATTAAACTGACTCACTGGTATATTTATCAGAATCATCTATGTTGGTATGAGACAGCTTTCCCTGGGGCCTGTGTAAAAAAGAACAGCAGACCTGGAATTCTATGTCTGGGATTACACACAGGTGACTATGAGCCAATTTGTCACCACTTACATGATAATCTGTAAAGAAATAACACACTAGACAACGTGTTAAAATCAGTTTGTGTGATTCTCTCAGAAAGCCACTTTCAATGAAGGGGAAAATAATAATATACATAAACTCTTGTTTCAGAAGAGGGGAAAAACTCAGAAATAGTTTTTCAGAAGGTTGGTTTGAAAATCAGTGAGAGGCTCTTGATTATTAGGACGTTACTGGTAAAACAGCATGGGGGGAAACAGAACTACAGAACTAGAGAAAAATGTACAAACTGCTCCCTGACACACACACCACCAAAACAAACAAACAAACAAACAACAAACAAAAAACTAGTGGCAACAAATACTTCATTTGAATTCCAGAGCCACTCCAGAACTGTTCTATTACCTGCAGTGAGTGTCCATCCTGCCTTAAATTTGCTCATAGTAATCAGAAAGGTGTCTAAAACCCAGAATGGATGTGGCTTTGCCCACAGAGCCCTTTAAATCCTAGATATAAGTACTATGGCTTATGAAATAACCTAAGAGGTTTAACCATAGAAAAAAATAACACTCTTGAATGCTGTAGGTAAGGACCAAGAGCTGAGATTCCATTTCAGTTACAGGAGCTTATGGTGGCAATGTTCTTTTGATTCTCCATAAAAGACTATATGGCACTTCTCAGCTTTGTAGGACTTACATAGTCAGGGTGTATAATTAGTCATGCAGCTTCAATGGGAAGCTCCATTAAAAATAGCTTTTAATTAATTAAACTCAGTATTTGAATAGCTGACTTTGAGCAGTAGCTAAATACTTGGGACCTAACTAAAAGGCCATATTTCTTTACTTAAAAGCTATGACTGTCATTAGCTCTAATGAGATAAACTGGCAAATCTAGGTAAGGCTGGTTATACTAGAAATTGCTCCAATTTAAGGAAACTTTCAAAGCTATGAATTTAATAAAATTAAAAGCAGACATGAATATATAAACACCTCTGTAGGGGACCCCTGCTGTGTAAGGTAGCAGTCTCTCCATGTCCGGATAACCCACGGGGCTCGGAGTTCATATGCAGAGACTCCTTTTATCAGCAGGGCGCCTTCCTACTCTCTTCCTGACTCACCTTTCGAAGTGGCCACCACAGATGCCCTACCAAAAACATGGCCTCTGGCATAGGAACTGCCAGGTTTTCCTGTGTGATAATCAGACAATGTCTAGCAGCCTGGCAGGAGCCCATCACCACATGTAAATAGGGCATCCTAAAAGCACCTATCCACTAAGACTCTTGCCACTGCCCCCACAGTATAAATATCCTAGTTTCCCCTAATTAATCGGAGCTGAATCACTAAGACCTGGAGCCCAGCTGAGTCACTGAATAAAGGAGCGGTACCACTGAATCTAACTGAGCTGAGTTCTGTGTCTTACTGCCTAAGATACAGTCTTTCCGGAGAGGGCTGTCTCTTCGTAAACCACGACTCACGGAGACCCTGCTTTTGCCGTTTCTCGCACCTCCCCTTGTGACCTGGTGGCCAATGGGTCTTGAATTTAGAAGGAGTGCCCAGTGGAAATTGAAACGGAACCCGACCGGGCAGCTGACAGCGGTCCTAGAGCCTCCAGCTCCGGTAGCAGAGACCCACAGCAACGCGGTGCGGGACAGCAACGCGACCCGCCGCACCTTGGCAGCCCGCGGGAGACCGGCACCACGCCCAGCAGCTGGCGCCCCAAGATCCCCGCACCCCATACACCTCTAAATATATTCATTTACTATAGTAAATATTATTATGCTCTGTTTTATATAAGGCATTTGTGTATTTGATATCTTATTTGGTCTCAGTGTGGTCATCAGGAAAGATAATATTATCATAATATTATAATTAAACCTGAGAGCCAAACGATGGCTGGATAACAATTCAACATCAGGGGAAAAACTAGCAACAAATATGATTTTACAGTTGGTTTAAGGAACATAATGCTTTCTATGTACAGTGTTTCACTATGTAAATGAAGAAGAGACCCAGTGACGAAAACATGTTCTCAAGTATTAGTGCTTTCCTGGAGTAGAACACAAATTAGACACATGATACATTTGTTACAATTTACATAAAACTGACACACAAAAGACAGTAACAGGGACATCTGTAGACCAAAAGAGACACAGAATTTATTTGTGAAAGCCATGTTTCTACTAAGAATTCTGAATCTGGGAAGGGTTAAATTAATTTCTAAATTTCACAGTGTAGTAGATATGGGACATTATTGTCTTATAACAATCAGTTAAAACAGCAAAAAAATCATGAAATCATGAGGCACTAGTGGAATTCTTCATTGCAAAATACCCAA